TTGTATGTACACCCCTGGTCAAACTACATGTTTTGTTGATTTTCTAGGTGAAAATAAGTTCACACATCATCTATTGAGAACACACTGCAATCTTAATGCACAATTACTGTTTATTTGCTGAATTGGGGGACAAAATATAACATAACATGTGGCCTGTGTGAATGCACTCATTTTTCCAATATGTTAAACTCAGCAAATAAATAGAAATTGTGCACTGAAAAGTGCAGAAAAATGCCATATTTAAGTGTTTACTGTAGAGGAGGTGTTAACTTATTCTCACTTAGAAAATTAACAAAACATGATCTGACTGGCTGTGTTCAAGCTTTTGCATACAGCTGTTTTTTACATCATTTTATTGAAAACAGTAAAGCACAGTGGCAAACGTTTTCTGCTGTAGCTCTTCATTTGCTATTTTAAGCCAAATAATCAGCTATTTGTCAATTAATTCACAGGAATAATCGACTATCAAAATATGAGATTTTTTTTGCTGTCCCATTTAAACTATCGTTATGTTCGATCATATTTGATTATCCCTAATCTATGCACACACACAAACACACCATCTCGGACAAGATCCGCGGCTCTAAATATAGGCTGGACAAAGGATCAGGGCTGTGGTCGATGCATGAGTAGGCACAATTACTCCAGCTAAACCATCTGTGCTAAATATAGAAGCAAGCTGGACTTCACATCGCTTTGTCCCTAAAGTAAACACACACACACGCACACACACACCGAGCGAGAGAGAGAGAGTGACTCGGAGGCTAGGATAGGCTCGGCCTCGCTGCAGTATGATCACATGTAGACACGGAGAGATGTACACAGGTAGAATGCAACGATGCTATGCTATACGATATGTTTCATGGTGCAGTTTATAGAATAATCAATATTGATATAATAAGAGCGTCTCGGAGAGTAACTGGTGTGTGGGAGCACATGAAAGGAGACGAGGAGAGAGAGACGCAGCCTCTGGCTCTGACTTCCTCGTATGATGATAAAGGTCTCAGATACAAAGAGGTGGACAGAGAGAGATAAACAGATACGGTTTATGTGTGTGTCACAGATAAATAAATAGAGGGGGTGTTTTAAAGAGAGAGAAAAGTGTCCATTTCATTTGCTTGAACTTTAATATTATATACATACTGTACAATAGGGATGTGCACACCAATTTTCTCTTTAATAGGGCTGCAAAATGTGAGTTTCTTCATATTTGTGAGTACATACATATTTTGGTGCTATAAACATGGGTACTGAATTGTTAAGCACATGACTGAGAAGGGAAAAATAGCACAGCTTTATTGCTAACTCAGCTAACTAGTCTAGCTGATGTTAGCTAGGTCCAAAACAGTGAAAATGTATTTCTCTGACAAATTCACATGTTGACACATCATCCACTGAGGAGAAAAGATCTTGTGTATAAGAATGCGTATCTCAATCAGCATCTATTGTTGTACCAGTTTGTGTTAGCTCAAAACTTATCAGTTTCCCCCATCTGTTTTTATAAAACATGTTTCAAATTTGAACCTCCAGTGCTGTCATCTAAAAGGTAAGCCTACAACTGTATCACCTCTGTTGAGCAAAAACCATTTAGTCTCTACATTTTTCACATTTTTTTTGGTGATTTGAGAAGTCTAGTAACCCTTTGCCTCATGTTAAAATTTCATGATGAACAGACTAATATGAATTGGTCCAAAATGACATTAACTTGTCTAAAATTACATTAACTTCCATTAGAAGTTAAGAATGTTTTATCATTAAAGGTCATTATCCAATAACATAGAGACAGGCAATATGACAATATTTTCTGTACAGTACACTTTTCTGCGCATGTTATGGATATTGTGACTTTTAAGCAAAACACTGACCAGATGCTTGTATCATTACAAAGAGAACATAATTAGTTATGATGCAAATTCTTGCCTAAAATCTGAGAGCAAATTACATAAAAAAATAAAAAAATATTATAGTGCTAGTATTATAGGCTTCAGTATCAATCATTCAAACTTTATTTAAAGTTGGAGTACATTGAGGGTGACTCTCATTTGCAATGTAGCCAAGTATTAGAACAAAGAACAAAGGATTGAAAAGAGTTTGATTGAAAAAACATTAAAATAAAAAGGTAAAACATAGGAACCAGTAAAAAAGACAAAATATAAACTAGTAAGAATTACCAAATTTAAAATATATAAAAATTAAAATAATTAAATGTGCCAACATCATTGACAACTGAGAACAATTTATCATTCAGCACTTTGCACTTTGGCAGTTAGTGATTTTTTCATCATTACAAACAAGATGGCTATATTCTATACATTCCATAAACCATTCCTGTTTTCTCTATATCGAGTGGGATGTCATTTTTTAAAAGGTGTATCAAACCAGTAATGGAGGACTTTCTTGGGCATCTTGTTACTTCTCTCTCTGCTGTCTGCACTGACTGCTGCAGGACAGCAAAGGAAACAAACAGCATTTTTAATAACTATTTCTCTTTTGTATCACCATTATATCATTGGTAAAGTCTTTGATTTTGACACTTTGTTGTAGGACTATTCTACCTTTGTTGAACGTGCAATTTTTTTACGATTTTCAGATAAAAATATCAGTGGCAGACATTTGTGCTTCTCAAATAATTAGGAGAGATGGCATAACGCTATTGAGCAGTATCAGTACAGCAAAAAATATTGGATTGGATATTGGAGTGAAAAAAAAGGAATTAATCTGATTCATTCCTGTAACAAATCTATCATGAAAAAGCACACACTCACGCTGTGTGATGTGATGTTGTTACCTTTGTACTTCTTCCTGTAGGGTAGTAGAGGTAGAGGACGGTAATATGAAGATATTTTATTTTCGGTATCGTGCTAAATGTTATTATCGTGACAAACAGTATTGTAGCATGGAGCACCATGGGTTCCTGCCATGGCAGCAGTGAGAGAGACTTTAATTTTAAATAGTTATTATGCGGTTAAAAGACGCACATATGTATATGTGTGCTACTGTGCTGGGCTGTGGGGTAGTTGGGGCAGTGTTGGTGCCTGCCATCAGGGTGAAGTGCATGGCTGTTGATGACCTGCCTGTTGTCTCGGCCGTGTCAGTAGCACTGAGCGGTGGGTTTCCCCTGCTGCATGTAAATAAAAGAGCATTTATTTAAAGCTCTGTTTCTGACTAGGGGTGGGCAATATGGCTGTAAAATGTAATGTCATGATACTTTAAGAAACTTTCAGGATACACAATATTCACTATTTATTTTTTCAGACGTCTGATCAGTTGGAGCAGAGAAAATAGAATCAGTAGAGCTACATTTTCAAAAATACTGTCAAAAATTAACAAAGATTTTTTATTCAATATTTGGCACTAAATCCAGTTAAACAGGACCAATTTTGCTCTCTTTATAATGAAACATGCAGTTGGTCGGTGTTCTACAAGCACTAATGATATCCACAATATGTTCAGAAACAATATTGTACTGTATTGTGACATAATTTATCGCAATAATGATATATATTGTCATATTGCTCGGCCCTATTTCCTTTGTCGTCTTCTTCTGCATCAATGCCACAATATGCCTTTCTGAGCATATCTTGGATATTCTCATTGCTTAAAAAACACCGACCAACTGCAACTGTTAGATTATAAAGAGAGCAAAATTAACCCTGTTTACTCAGATTTAGTACAGTGGCACTAGAGTGTAGTACACTATGGAAATGTTGAATAAAAATCATTGTGCTCATAATATTGTCTGTGTGTCAGAATATCATGATACGCATCATGCTTCGTGAAAATGTCTTTAACCATTGTGAGATGATATTTTTTTCTGTTTTGCCCACCCCTTTGTACAGTGTTTGAGGAGTGTGTACATGACGGATTACTTTTAGATGCTCATCTTAAGTGCTTCAATTGAAAACCAGCTCATTTTAAAGCTTAGTAGTTCTTAAAAAACTGATTAGTGTTGGCTGATACACAGAGCTTCAATATTGGTATCAGTATTGGAAAAGAGAAAGTGGTAAAAAATTAGTCCTGTTTAACTGGATTTACTGTAGTTCAATGTGACATGCCAAACAAAAATCACTACAGTTGTAGTTTTTGATAATATTCTTTGAAAACCTCAGCAAGAAAGAAATATCTAGATCATATAGTGTATTAGGGTTGGGCAATATGACAATATATTATTGTTATCATGATAAATTATGTCACAAGAATATTGTCAATATAGTCAGTACTTAAAGAACATTAATTAATTGCATGTTTCATTACAACGAGTGTATAATTAGACCTGTTCAATTGGATTTAGTGCAGTGCAGCTTGCAAAACACTGAATAAAAATCATTGCTGTAGGTTTATTGTTATTATTATAATTCTAGTTTTATATGTGGCTGAACAGATTCAGCTTTGTCTGTTCCTACTTATTAAATCTCAGAAAAAGTAAGTATTGTGACGCATATCATGCATATTGTGAAAATATCTTGAAGTATCATGGTATATTTTTGTAATATCACACACCCCTACAGTATACCATGACAACGTCTTCAAGTATTGTGATCGCCTACTCCATGATAAGAATTAAAAACAATCTATTGTGCAGCTGTTCCATGGTGTTGTTGTAAAGCATGTCCATCAGCTGTAATGAGATAAACTACATTAACACTAGAGTGAGCATCAATAGCCTTTCACTTGGCCAAACAGCCAGCCTTGCTGTGCAAACTCAGTCTGCAGGAGGGAGAGAGACCAAATCTTGTTTTGCCAACCTTGGTCACTTTGTATAGTGCGTTCTGCCTCGCGTAGAAACTGTTACCATGTATGGCAAGGTGAAGAAATGTCTTTTTAAGCCGGTTGACACTATGACTCATTTTAAAGGCCTGCTATGAAGATCTATTCTCAATCCTTAAGAATAATGCCAAGCTATTCAGGGAGGTATTGTGTTCAGTGCTTTATGGAAACTCTTCTATCTGACTAATCGGACCTCTTTGATGTGTTTTTTTTTCCGTTCTGTTTCTGTGCAGGAAGCAAATTGGCGCGGATGAGCTTCTGCGGCTGAGAATAACGTACCGAGAGAGATCATTAACACATTGGGACACACACATAGCTGTCCGCCCACCAACACACACACGCCAACAACCAGCCCCACATATACACACGTACACACACGCTCACACACACAGATGGCGCTAGAAAACTCCACCTTCTCTTCCCGTCCAGAGTCACTTTCTCTGCCGGTCCCAGAGAAAGGGGAGGAGCCTGCGCAGGAGGCCAAAGAAGATGCCCCACCCACCAGTGTTTTTAACGTATCCGAGGAGCTCGGGCACGTGGTTACCACAGAGACGTCAACACCCCCGCAACCGTCCACCAATAACAACTTGTCCTTCCAGGCCAAGATGGCCGCGCGGGAGGCGCAAGCCAATCAGCCCCGGAAGAAGCTGCAGGGGGCGGGGCAGGAGCGGGGAAAGTTTGGCTGGGGTAAGAGATTGTATCCTCTTTGCTTTGTGAATTTAGCGTGGCTGTCATTAGAAAATCTCATAACTCCATTTCTGTTTTTCCTTGTTTCTTTGTTTACACAGTTTAATAAAGCCAGCTGCCCTTTATATGTGTTAACATGATAAGTGGACCAATAGAAATAGATTCATGTAGATTTTAAAGCTGCACTATGTAAGACTTAAAATTAGACTTTTAAAATTGAAGTAGCATTACTGAGTCAATAGAAAAACAACACGCTAAAATATGGTGTGCATGCGCTGCTGTGAGTCACCCTGTACAGCATGAAAATGATTAATTAAAAGTCAGAGGTGTCAAGTTGGATTTCGGAGGAGTTTTTCAGACCACGTCACATGCACAGAGTCAAAAAGAAGGTCTGGCTCGATGTTTGGGTTTCAAATGCAAAATCAACTTTATAATAATGAAGATAACAGTAGTAGAAAATTCTGTTACATCATCGCAAGACACGTCCTTCACCACATTTTGACTGAGTTCCCTTTGAATACTCTTTCAACACACTCCCAATCATCAGATTTATCCGCTTGTGGGGGTCCAAAGCACAACCGACGTCACAAAATGTTGTGCAATTACACATTTCCACCAGAGAGGTCTCTAAATACCAAATGCAAATAAAAACAGTAAGCAGTCGTCTTTAAATCCACTTCAACTTGCATTTAAACAGAAGCAGTACGAAGATATTTAATCCCTGATCAGCTTCATTGTTTCCATAAATATATGTTAATTCTGAAATTGATGCCTGCAACACATTCCAAAAAAGTTGGAACAGGGAAATTTAATACTAGGAACGTTGTTAAATCATCTGACAACATGTAATCATGCTTGGGTATAAAAGGAGCATCTATAAAAGGCCTAGACCTTTATAAACAAGAATGGGTTGAGGCCCACCACTTAGTCAAAAAATGCATCAGCAAATAGTCCAACTATTAAAAACGTTCCTCACTAAGCATTTGTAAAGATGTTAGGTATTTCACTCTCAACTGTTCATAATGTTGTTAAAAGATTCAGGCCATCTGTAAAAAGCAAGGATGAAATCACAGCCGAGTGCCCTTCAGTCCCTCAAAAAGCACTGCCTTAAAAACCAGCATGCTACTGTGACGGATCACCACATGGGCTCAGGAATACTTTGACAAATTATTGTCAATAAACGCTGTTCATTGCTGCATTCACAAATGCAAGTTAAGACTGTACTATGCACAGTGGAAGCCACATGCCCAATTTCTCTGTGCTTAAGCTCAACTGAAATGGACTGATGAACAGTGGAAACGTGTACTGTGGTCTGATGAGTCAACCTTTCAGATTGTTTATGGAAATAATGGATGTTGTATTCTCTGGTAAAGGACTGGCCAGACTGTTACCAGCGTAAAGTTCAAATGGTGTATTAGTGCCCATGGTATAGGTAACTTGCACATTGTGAAAGCGCCCTTAAATACAGGTCAAACAGAATGTACTAAGAACTGCTTTTTGCTTTATTGGCATCTCACATACCCTCCCAACTTTTTTCACTTTATGTTGCCCACCCCTAGTTACTACTGTGAATCTAATATGTAAGTTATGTAGCTGTTAGAATGAGGATTTGGCTCTAAGCATTTAAAAGGCTTAAGAATGTTTTTCTCTTCTTCTATAAAGTTACCGTTTCACAGATACGAGCTTACGACAGCGACATTATGTGTAGTGAAAATATCTGCGCCACTACCATGTTTTTCAGAAAGCGCAGCCTCTGCATCCTCCCCCCTGCAGAATCAAGACACTGCAGGATTTGGACTGGGGGTCTGTTCTGTTGCTGTGTGACAATTTGTGTATGTGTATGTGTGTATGTATGAGAAGAAAAATCAGTGTGATGTAACTCTGCTGTATGTCTTTCTTCATCCACATTCTCTCCTATTCTGTCTTTTTTTTCACACTGGCTCTGCTCTCTTATGCTTTACATCTGTTATGCTTCTCCATTCCAATTTTTCTCTCATTCTCCGCTGTTTCTCTGACCCTTTCTTTTCTTCCCTCTCTCGTTCTGGCTCTGGTTTTCTCTCCTATATTCCTTTCTTTATCCTTCCTCTCTCTTTCTGTCTGTAGCGCGTAGTAAGCGTAAGCGGCAGCGCTACGTGGAGAAGAACGGCCGTTGTAATGTGCAACATGGTAACATGCGGGAAACGTACCGCTACCTGACAGACATTTTCACCACGCTGGTGGACCTGAACTGGCGCTGCTCGCTCTTCGTCTTCGTCATGGCCTACGCCGTCACTTGGCTCTTCTTCGGAGCTATCTGGTACCTTATTGCGTACTGCAGGTATGTAAAAGAGCCCAGAAGACACACACTCACAGACACAGTCAATTCATTTATTTATTTCAAGGGCCCATATCCTGGGAAACTGAGTACTCCTTGCTTTTTTGATATAAGAGTTTAACCCCCTAAAATCTCAGGCTTATTACACACTAAACCTCATTATTCAGTAACTACAGGGACTTCAATGCAAACTGGAGTTATTCTTAGGTTACAGAAGTGTGTAACACAACTTAAGGCCCGCCAGTGGGCCCTGACCATTTAAGGGGTTAATGCACTGTCATTGTTGTTACTTTCAAAACATATTGCTCACTTTTGAGTCCACACAGTCCATATATGGAAGCTAAACTGCAAAATTAGTCTGTTTTGTATTCATCATGTTTGTGATGTCGCAACCTGTCTAGCTGTCGGAATGAAAGTCTAAAATTCATATGTATGCAAACTTGTTCGGTGACAAAAATTCACGTTAAAAATTCACATTAAAAGAGAGCTGTGTTGCATTGGGATAAAATAGGTTAATATGTGTCAAGTATCATTGTTTACAACCAAGACAGTCAACTGCTATCTTCTCTGAACTGTCTTGAGAACTTACAGTAAGCCTAAAAATGATATTGTAAATAGCAATCGTCGGGGTCCAAGCATGATACACCATTTGGAGCCAGTAGAAAACAAATAGAACACACTGACCTTTTCAGTTTGTTATGGAAAGCAACACATTTTCAACAAAGTCGGAATACCTAGAACACAATTCAACACTTGGACATCATTGTATTTGCATGTATTGCAACTAAGTGAACGAAATAATTCCACAGTGATTACCCTGATCCTGCAGTCTTAGAGTGCACCAGAATCCACCAGAATTGTTATATTAAAGTTGCAAAAATGTTCTTCAAAGAATGATGCCACTAAACCCTGCTATAGGTTTCTGAACTGGTTACCTTTTTTAAATGTTTCTATATCTGCTATTGCAGTCTTTCTAATGATCCAGTATAGAATGTTTTATTTGTTGTTTAATTGTAAACTGTATGGTAAAGCTCAATGTTTCCTATTGAGAGCAGACTATCAATGATGCAAATATATTTCCTTTTTTACCTGTAGTTTTTAGTTCTAATGTTTAGTATGTTCATTCAGAAGCATAAATAAATAGGCAATAATAAAAAATATAATTTTCACTTTCGGTTTAGACTAGAAATTTTCATTTCTGTGCATTACTAATACACACACTTATGCAGTGTATTCTTCAGGGTTGCCTGCAGGTTAGAAGAACACACACATGTATGCACATGGACACACACCTTCACACAAAACATGCACAAACACATAAAGCACACACACACACATACCCACCTGACATTAACCTGCAGTCATTTGAGTGGGTGAGTACTAGAGAAGATGAATACAACACACTCCTACTCCTCTCTCTCTCTCTCTCTCTCTCTCTCTCTCTCTCTCTCTCTCTCTCTCTCTCTCTCTCTGCTCTGCTTTCTCCACTCTATCTAAATCTAGGTTTCACAGAAGCCCTCCTGCTTGCCAGGATGAAAATGCACTACTGAAACCAAATAATTATTTTAGTGTTAACTTATGCTTTGACAAAATGTATTAAACATGAGGTCACAGGGTTTCAGTCCAGTTCTTAGGAGATATGATCAGTGTTCCACAGCAGTATGATCAAGTGTCTTGAGCGAGTGTGACCTGGCTGGTGCTTCTCCAGAACTGGACTCACATGGCCGATATGATGATGTGATATCATTATCAGTTTTGAGCATATTTTGGATATCATAAGTACTGATGCATTGCTCTGATACACTGGATCAGTGTCTGCACTGATACTGCCCTTTTGTGCTAGCCAACGTATCGTTTTTACTAGTAAACCAAGATACTGTGAATCAGTTATTCTTAGCATGTAGGTATTGATGTTTTATGCTTGTAGGTTTGTATGTTGTTTGTCAAGACAAATTACCAATGTTGCTGGAAAATATTCTATTCTATCTATTCTATTCTATTCTACTCTATTAACATCAACATTAAAATCTATAACAGTTGAAAGAATAGTAAGTTTTCGTTCTGAAAATGTGCTTTTTGTCTGATCACCATTTACAGTATGTGTAAGGTTTACTCCCTTTTTAAGAGAAGAAAACAAAACAGTCAAAAGAGGCTATGTGAGGTTTATAAGACGTTCTTTTACTACAGAGTAGCAGCAACATTCATTTACTTCATTAATGCAAACTTAAATGTCATCTGATACCATGATATATTCAAAAAATACTGTTGAATTTTATCAACTACTGTCCTTATTAAGTGGATTGACCGGTCTTATCCACATCCATTACTGTTTCTTACTCGTGGTTGTTGTACAATTGTAACAGTGCATGAGAGCCTTCTTTGTTATACACAGTCTTATGTACTTTTTTTTCTTTTATAGGTTTCTTTTGTAAGTAGCAACAGCCCAATGTTACCTTACATACAGAAGCATGATCTTAAGCAGTTTCTCACAGTGAAGTGTATAGATTTGAAATTTAAAGGGTAAAATGGCACCGCTGTCAAAATGATTTTCTGTATTGGCCAGTACCCTAAGTTTAGGTATCAGCATCAATATTGGGTGAGAAAAATGGGATCTGTTTATCTCTACATTAGAAGACACTGACCAACTGCAAATTCAATTAAAAAGAAATTTGACCAGGGCCCCAAGTGGCACAGCTGTGTAAGGTTTAACGTTTTGTTGAGAGATTACAAGTTCAAATCCCAGTGATGCCAGGGGTTCACCAAAGCATAATTGGTTGTAGTGCAACGTTCGTGAAATGTTGGATTAAAAAAACTTAGTTTTGAAGCCATTTTTTAACCATGGCATATTTTTACTAATGCATTTTGTCCATTCCAACTTAGCAAACCCCAGAAAACAAGACACTGTAATAAGTATCGCAATCGCATATCGTGAAAAGCTATTGTCTATGTCCATCCATTTCAAGCTAGTGCACTTATCTCGCTCTCTCTCTGCATCTTTTTCTCCAGGGGTGATCTGGACCATTTAGAGGACGAGACATGGACTCCGTGTGTGAATAATGTTAACGGGTTCATCTCTGCATTCCTATTTTCCATCGAGACTGAGACCACCATCGGCTATGGCCATCGTGTCATCACCGACCAGTGTCCTGTGGGCACAATGCTTTTGCTGCTGCAAGCAATACTCGGCTCTATGGTCAATGCCTTTATGGTAGGAACACACAGAGACACATATGCACACAGAAAATGCATTGAATTTACTGAAATGCATTGAATGTTCCATGAGTTGAATGTGTACATGTGAATGTGCATGAATAAATATAATACATCAACACGAGAGTAAAATTACATTTTTAGTTACAAAAAATGTGGCCACTCAAGCTTGTACTTTTAATAGTCCAATGAACAGCAACAGACAATTATTTACATGACAGTTACTTGTCGGCTAAAATATCGTGCCAGGCCTTCTTGTGGGGTATATTATGGAATAGTCATTCTCAAAGATGTCAGAATAGGCCTATGTACCTTTCTTTTGACAGTTGTCTTGTGATCCCAGGTTGAGAATGACCTGTTTATTACATTGTGAGCTTTTGAGAATGCTGGATGCTTGATATTTATTTGATATGGCATTTACTGCAGCCATGTATCCTGCATAGAAAAATACATAGAAAAAATGTGTTGAAAAATAATGTATCTATAAACAATAATGTATCTTAAAAAAAACACATTCAAATATTTGACATTTGGATTTAATTAGATCCAATTTGATCCAGGTTGACAGCCCAAGTTGACAGTCCATTTGGCAATAAGTATTTCAGTTATTCACAGTTATTCATATGGGAATGATGTACACATTTGAGTCAAGAAAGTTCAATATATTACTTTTTTTAGTGCACACAAACTTAGACAATGAATGCAGTCATTTATAGACAAGCAGCCTCCAGAACTGGATTTAGACTATGAATTGTGGCCTTACAAATGCATTTTCATTAGGGCTGAAACAGTTAGTCTACATTATCGATAATATCAACAATAAAAAAGTTTGTCAAACATTAACAACTTAACCTAAGGGCAGCAATTCACTTATGGTACATTTACATTTACATGGAGTTCACACCGTAAGTGATTTGTCAGAATGAGCTTATGTTTGCTTTACAAACATCAATAAAGCTCATCATGTTATGTTACAATATTCTAAGCCATATCATTTTCTGTTATTTAAAAGTTTTAGCAGCTACTTCATTTGACAGCTCATCCTGTCACAGCATTATATATGTTAGTTAGCACTCACTGGACGCAGCGTTATATTTTATGGTTGTATTAGTATATTTTATTATATATCTTTACGTCTTCTATTTATGCATCTGCATAATACCACATGGCAATACTTTTGCTCGTTTTGCTGTTTACTACACTTTGTGCCACTGTAATAGATGACTTCCCTCTATGATTAATAAAGTGATCTATCTATCTATCCAGCTAGCTAACTACATACAACCGTTTTATTAACTTATTATACAACAATAGATTATTTGTTGATTAATTCACATAAATAATCACCTATCAAAATATTAGTTCTTTGCAGCCTTCATTTTCATAGTGGAATTTACCGGCTGCATGCATCTGCAGGGAGATCGTATAAATACTGATTAGCATAGTGATTAGCATACCGGAGTAGTTGCGTAGTATTCAGGGTGAAAAGTGATTAATATTAATTTTGACAGTTAACACTTCAACTTCACACCATATCTCTGCACCAGATGCACTTCTGTCACTCTGATTTTCTCCCCCTCTCTTTCTCCTTCTGTAAATATGAGCCAGGCTGTATAATTTTTCATATTGGATTCTTTTTCTGCGCTATAGGTGAGAGAATAGGTTCTATTTTTCATCTCACTCGATTCTCTTTCCTCTACAGATCCTCCAAAGTGCCAACAGTATATGTGTGTGTATGTGTGTGTGTGTGTGTGTGTGTTTGTGTGTATGAGAGAGTTATTTCAGACAGAGCCAAATGAGTCATACATTTTAAAAAGAGGATGTTCCTCATTCTCCCTCTCCTCCTCTATGTTTACACCTCTTTTTTCTCTCATGATCTCTCTCTCTCTCTTTCTCTCTGTCCTTTATTATTCTGTCAGAAGTTAATTTACTTTCTTACTTTGTCACTAAGATTGTCTCTGAACCTGATTTTGTGTAATAGTGTGGTAAAGAGATTGTGGTTCTAATGAGGACTAAAAACGTACACGTGTGTGTGTGTGTGTGTGTGTGTGTGATGAGTTAATTTGTCTTGTTCCAAGCGTCCTGGTTTAATGTCTCTTCCTGAGGCTGTGTTTCACCCATATATTTGACACACACACCCACACACACTCTCTTAAAACATACTGAAATATGTGATGCACTGAATTTACTTGACTGAAATGTGTACATAATTTCCACATGAATAAAATACGTTAAATAAATGTTTACATCAATGTTGTGTTGGTATCATATATTTCATCAATTTAAATGTATGTACACATTTGAATCAAATGAATTTAATGCTTTTTCAGTGCAAGCCCACACATACACACATGATGTGCATGATCACACAAACATTTTCTTTTTTAAAATTAAAAAAAGTAAGTAACCAGGAGTGAGTGAGAATAAAACCTAATTTTTTAGAAATTCAGGTTCTGTTTGAGGTGCTAGTAGGCATGCACAGGACGACCAAGAACATATATAGACCAAAATGTCAATAGAACACAAATTTCATGCATTAAGAGATTGTAAAGTGTGTAATGTTGCCCATATTTGTGATTAAGTGTATTATTACACTTTGATACTATGAAACATGAGTGCCATGACTATGGTTACCACCTCAGCCCTATAAAATTCTCGAACACTCGATCAGTGGCTTGACTTTGTACTAAATTCAGAGGACAGGTAGCTGTGCTCATGATGGAATCTAAGGTAGACAGATGTCAGTTCAGCTATAGGACCCAGTCTTCTCAGTTATTTCATTCCAGTGCTGCCTGGTGCCCAAACTTGTCACCAGCAGGGCACCTTTCCACAAACATTTGTAGTCTGAACTAATCAAACTCAGTCCTTGTAGTTTGACTGGATTAAAAGAAGCAGTTTTAACTGCATGATAAATACTAATTTACTAATTCTAATACTAATGAAAATGCTTGGATTCCTGGACAATTCATTTTTTTCCTGGACAGTCAACCAAAAACCTGGATAATCCAGGGAAACCCTGGATGGGTGGCAAGTTTAGCCTTAAGCTGCTGTGACTGAGAGGGCAGAGAGAGCTTGACCGGCTCTGGTGTGACTTTTTCACTAGCTTGGCTAACTACTCTGATGTTAGCTCGGCCCAGAAACAATGAAAAGATATTTCTCTGACACACTTTGGCACATCGTTCACTGAGGAAATACGAGCTAGAAGACGACGAGTCCTCGACAACGTCCAGCGTTGTACTGGTGTAGCTGTAGTTTTAGCTCATGAGCTCATCTGAAAGGGCAGCCTTAATTACCCATCCAACACAAAAACCTAACGATTTCCCTCGGATATTATCATTATTATCTTATGTGTTCCTAACTTTTTGTGCTACTAATGTTTTTACCTCCTGTTACCAGTGTCCGTTTTTAATTGTTTTTTTTTTACCTCATATTACCAGTGTCTGTTTTTAGTTGTTTTTTTACCTCATATTACCAGTATCCATTTTTAATTGTGTTTTATCTTTCTTTATCGCTCCCTGCATTTTATCTTTCTTTATCATTCCCTTCTGCTGTGACGTAAAACTCTTGTCCAAAAGCCATAATACTATTTCTGTACACCTCAAACTATGACATCTGGACAAAGGAATAACTTGAGGTTATGAAAATGTAGATTTAGTCTAATGTTGCCAGGATACAAAGTGCTACTGTTGAATGAATTTAAATGCAGAAACCTGCTTTCTGGCACAGTTCCACTGTTATAATGTCACACCTGTTGGGGCTAACAGACTTCTAAGTGAGCGTCTCTGCATCTCTTTGTTGTATCTCCTTGTTTCTATACTCTTTAATTCCCTTCCCTTTTCTCTGTCAGGTGGGATGCATGTTTGTGAAGATCTCTCAGCCAAACAAGCGGGCAGAGACGCTGGTGTTTTCCCGGAATGCGGTCATCTCTCTGCGGGACGATAAGCTGTGTCTGATGTTCCGAGTCGGGGATTTAAGATCTTCACACATTGTGGGAGCCAACATGAGAGCCAAACTCATCAAATCCAAACAGACTCAAGAGGGTGAGACACCAACTGTAACATCATCAAGACTACAAAACATTAAACTGAAATCAAAGGCATCGACTGCAGTAGCTCATCAGTGAAGTTATTGAAGAATGCAATGCTGCCACCTATTGGTGGGCCACCTATGATCTGGGAGATCATGTCATCCTTGAAACTCAAATGTTAGCATTTTCATGATTCACCCCCAGTAACCTCAGGGTTTGGCAAAAACTCCCAATGAGGAATCTTAGATGAAATTACCAAAAGTAGGTTATTTCTATAAAGAGAATGATTGAAACATGAATCCCTATGTGCTGCTGCCTTATTTGCCTGGATCTGAGTTGACTTGTGTCCTCTAAACCAATAAGGAATTGATGAAACACCATGGTCATCAAAGGACCAACTCTCAGCTTATTAGTAAGGAGGAAGGCAAACATACATGGTGTAGATTTTCCAACTCAGCCAAGCAGGTAGACTGGTCTTGAGCTTTGTTTACAACTATATATCTGTCTTTTTATTCTAATTTAAATGTTATAATAGAATGTGTCACTTATTTCATACTGTATTTTAGCCTCTTCCCAATTCACATACATCCTTGTCATTGTCTGGACATCCCTTGTCCCTAGTAGCTCCGTATTTGGGCCACATTGACTCCCTCAAGGTTGCTGGAGACGTGTGGTGCCAGCTATAATTCTTATTGTTATTTTTCCTGTTTTATCTGTGAATTACGTTTTAAAAACTAGCCTGACCGTTTAAGCAGCTTCTCTTCTTTTATCTACCCATTGTTTCTCTTCAGGTGAATTTATACCTCTGGATCAGACGGACATCAGCGTGGGCTTTGAGACGGGGGATGATCGTCTGTTTCTGGTGTCACCGCTGGTCATCTCTCATGAGATCGATTCCCGCTCCCCGTTCTGGGACATGTCCCAGGCTCAGCTGGAGAAAGAAGACTTTGAGATAGTCGTTATTCTGGAGGGCATGGTGGAGGCTACGGGTGAGGCACACACATACAAACTCTCTTAAGGTTACACATAAGGTTTCACACAAATGCCAAGTAATTACTCTCGAAATAAATGAATATACACAGATTAGATTGTGTTTTGAAAAAAGTGTCAAGCCATCTATCCAGAATCTTGAGAGTAAGCCAGGGGTCGGCAACCCAAATGTCAAGAAGAGCCATTTTGTCCTTTCAACAAAAATCAATCCGCCTTGTGAGCCAAAACATTTTATGTCTATTTCTTGAAGCAACGTTTTACCATCTTGGTTGTGCTAATGTCCCAGTGTAGACTAAAAAATATAATATAAACGAAAATGCACACTTACTTTGTTTTGCTTTAAGCTTTAGCTCAGCTGTAGCCGCTTTTCTTGGATCTCAGGCAGGAAACCTTACCGCAAAAGTAAAATAATTTCTTGTAAAAAATGTTGGTCAACGTTCGGCTGAACGTTGAAATGTTGGTCAACGTTCAGCTTCTCATTCGCCAGCTTCTTGTTCTAATTTTCTCGTTCCACCTTAAATGGTGCCTGAGGCGCCAGAATGTAACTGCTGCACCATTTAAGGTGGAACAGGAAAATTGTTTGACAGTTTCTCATTGCAGATTAAACATATCAGCAAACAGTGCTTATAAATGCAAATAAGTCAATTCGTCTCCAAATTATCGATGTTAGTTTTAAATCTATCTCTTTGCCTCTTTGACCAGCAGTCTGTGCACCGATCTTCAGGGTTAAAGGGTGAATTAGCAGTTATACCTTTAAACTCCAGCTTTTAAGACTATTTATTGTTTAAACTGTGTTGAATGATCAGCAGAGCTTTATTTTACTGCAATATTATTTTTACTTAAAAATCGAATTCTGCTGTGGAGCCGATACGGGGCAGTAAAAGAGCCGTGTGTTGCTGACCCCTGGATTAAGAGAAGGAGAACACTAAATTAACCTATCTCTCTGTCTGTCTGATTGACAGGTATGACATGTCAGGCACGGAGCTCCTACTTGGCAGAGGAGGTGTTGTGGGGTCACAGGTTCAGCCCGATGATGTCCCTAGCTGAAGGATTCTTTGATGTGGACTATGGAGCCTTCCATCACACCTTTGAGGTACAAAAAGAATACCTGAGCTAATAATCAATCCTCAGGTCCAAAAAAGTTGAGATAGTATGTGAAATGTTAATGGAAAAAAAAACAGTGATTAGTAACTTCTCTTTGGGTTGTATTAAGTTGAAATACAGAAAATCAGAACAAAAACACTGTATTTTTACCTTATGAACTTTATTGTTTTATTTGCAAATATACGCTTGTTCCAAGCTTGATGCCTGCACTAGGGACAGGAGCATGTTTACCACTGTGTTACATCACTCCCGTTTAACAACACTTAATAGTTTGAGGACTGATACCAACTGATCAAATTTTGAATTTTTTGCAGAATGTGTCTTGTTGTTGTCATTTGAATTAAACATGGATGTTCCTGAAAAATACATTGTCTAGAAAGAAGCATATGTTGCTCCAAGATGTGTATATATATTTCAGCGTTAAGGATGTCTTCACAGTTACGCACGCCATGGGAATTAATACATCGACATACCATGACAGACCCTGGCTTTTGAACTTCATGCTGGTAACAATCTGGATGGTCCTTTACTTCTGTGGCCTGGAAAACACAGCGGATGCAGAGATTAAACTAGCTTTTTGACGACAGTTTATCAAAGTATCCTTGAGCTCACATGGTGATATCCATCACAGAAGCATGTTGATTTTTAATGCAGTGCTATCTAAAGGAATTAAGTTGTGATTTTTGGCTTTGCCCTATAAACTCTGGATTTCTCTGGATTTCTGAATCTTTTAATTATATTTTGTACTGTAAAGGGTGAAATATGTAAAATCCTTGCAGTCGCTTGTTAAAGAATGTTGTTCTTAAACTGTTGGCTACTTTTTTTGAGAGGTTTATTGTTTATATGACCATTAAACAAACTGATTTACATTCATTGTTGGCTTTCTGTAATTGGTCTAAATCTATCCATTGGTCAAAGTCTTTTGTGAGACGTTCAGTGCTCACAATACTTACGACACAAGTGTATTGTGGCATAATATCAATGATAAAATATTGTCATATTTGTCACCCTGTGTGTTGTATATAAAGGCTGAGTATTACTTTGTTGGCGTCTCCAGTGCTATGGCTGGCTGGATGCAAGTTGTGAATCAGACTCTCCCACTGCTTTACATCTAGGCCAGTTAATGCTAACAAAGCTTCACCTTTCCTCTCTCTCATAGGTGGACACACCTTCTTGCTCTGCACGAGAGCTGGCTTTGGCTGCTGCCCGTCGGGAAGCTCACCTCTACTGGTCAATCTCCAGTCGGCTGGATGAGGAGAAATGGGAGGGGCCTAATCTGACTGAGCAATCAAGAAAGCCTACGGATTCTGAATCCGTCAGTGAAAAAAAGGAAGGAGACGGGCCAACTTTTATTGTGGGTGGAGTCACAGATACCCAGGACCAGTCAGTTGTAGGGGAACAGAATGGCAGCGTCACCACAGACCAGTCCGAATCCGAAGCTTAAAGGGAGAGAAAGTGAGAATGGAATTTTTTTTTGAGGTTAGAAAGAGATAACAATACTATATTACACTTAGATTCGATTGTGAAACAATCCATGCCTTCTTCTTCAAGTTTAGCCGTTTAGTCGCTAATGTATAGCATAGAATACTTTTCCCCAACGGGGAAATCTTAGTCATTTATTGCTCTTTTGGTTTATTGGATTTGATATCAGACATCTGAAACGATACTGCCTTCAAATTCTGGTAGGGTGTTTTCACATATGAAATTCAGTTCTCTGGTGCAGTTCTTCACACACTGTTCACGAAATTTACACAGGGTACGTTTAGTTTTTGCTGTCCTTAAGTTATATGTTTAACTTGGTTGTAGTTGGTGGAAGTTCCATGAACCTTGTTGCAACTTCATAAACCTTTGGTACACTGGTGCAGGTCCCTAACCAGTGTCATCAGCTTTTACCAGCATTCCTTTGGGGTTTATTTGTTGTAGCCATATATTTGTCACTACAGGGTCTCAAATGCATCCTGAAAAGGATCAAACCGGCATATGTAAAAGCACCCTTAATAGCTCTTGTTCAGTGGTATAAAACGTACCGTATTTGTCTCTGTGTTAAAATAACAGTCGGCCTTACAAACGTCTCTTGCGCAAAGTTGACTTTTTTCAGTGTAAAAGGGTTTTATTACTTAACTTTTAGCAGAAACACTTCTTAAATATTGTATATACATAACTGGGATAATAAACTTTTAGGAGTAAGTGCTGATATAGGGCCAGATTGTTTGACCAAAAAGAATTATAAGCGAAAGTACTGTGCAAAAGTTTTAATTTGCAAAACTTTAACTTCCAGTCAAAACAGCTATTAAGTTATTGATTTTTCATTGTCAGAAAAAAAGCAAGAAACATGTATTTAACAGAAAATTGCACGTCTCCAACATAATATAGTATAATATCAGTCTTTCAGTATTTAATTTGTCCAGTCTTTTCTTTGTGCACTCTACTGCCACTTTAACTATTCTATCCTTCTAATCTGAAAAACCTACAGGTTATAGCTGTTGCTTCTGATCTGAAAAACTGTGAGAAGACAACTCAGTGGTAGGGGTCTGAAGGAGTGTGGCTGTCAAAAACCTATATTGAGAAAAGGAAATAGACAAAGAAAAGGAATATTTGTACTAGAACACAGAAACTAGATGCTTAAGATGTGGAGTAAGGTTCTATGGGCTGATGAGTCTAAATCTGAGATCTTTAGAAGTATCAGAAGGCAGTATGGATGCTGTCTAAGCAATGACTTTTCAAACCACATCTACAACCATCAGTCAAACATGGAGGTTGATCAGACCAAGTTTGGGGATGTTTAACAACATCTGGAGTTTGTGATTTGTTTTTGATTGAAAGCATCAAGAATGCTGAGAAGTATATGCAAAGTTTCATACATCATGCAAGACCTTCTGGGAAGTTGTTCATTCTATAGACATACTTATCAAATAAAGAAGCTGCTGGTGGTCTCAGAACAATGGAATGACCACCTCAGAGTCCAGACCTCAATATTGCTGAATGTGTTTGGAATGAATTGGATTGTGAGAAACAGAAAATGCAACCAACTTCTAAGACTGAACTCGGGAGATGTTGAACAATATCCTTGCAGATTTCTTTGAAAAACTGAAAGCGAGTCTTCTGAAAAGAATGGTAGCTGTAATAAAGGCACAGGGTACACCAAATACTGAAATAGTACACCAAATACTGAAAAATTCAATAGTATATTCACTTGTTGAAGCTTCTGGGTAATTTTCTGTTCTGTTTCTGCCTTTTTCATGATGCTGAAAATGAGTGACTTGTATTCAAAGGCTGTTTTGACTAGAAATTAAATGAAAGGATGGTTTCTGACTTTTGCGCAGTGCTGTATGTGGGCAGGCTGCTGTGTCTACAATGGAACATTTTCCACTAAGAGAGGAAGCCCCACTGCCATGGGCCACAGTGCAGTTGTCAAATTCAGTTAGGAATCAGTTGGCAGTCATCGGATTTGCCAAGGAACTGATGCACAGCTTAATTGTTCCAGCACTATCCTATGGAAGGACAAATTCCAAATATAGCTGGCTATAAATAGAGCCTTGTTGTGGTTTGGTGATGCTGGTGCCTTTTTAGAATTTCTTGGGCTCAGAGGGAGTTAGACCCCTATGAGTTAAACACAGTTATATAGCCATAATGTATACTAACCACAATATAGCAACAATAGCTCGTTCATAGTATAGGCAAGTTGGGGCATAACTGGTTTGTGCTACTGAGACCCAGACCTAGAGGACAAGTTGTCAAGACAGCTAAATTATATATAGAACAAAAAAAAAATCATGCATTGAATTCACTGGATTTAAATGTGTACATCAGTTCCACATGAATAAAATATATCACATCAGCAAAACTTCGTCTTCTATTTTACTTATTTATATTAGAATTGTGTATTTTTTTGATGCAAAATATTTTATTCATGTGGAAATAATGTTGATGCTTGGATCAAGTACAATCAGTGCATTACTTTTTTTGCAGATTTATATACATTGTAATGAGTTGATAACAAGGCTGGTTCTAGATAAGTACTCTTACTTGGAGATGCTTTTCACCTTGGATTTAAATAACCTTTTAAAATAGGTTCCATTCAGGACATCCGTTCAGACATCTGATGATGTATCAGTTCTGTTGATACTGGGATTCACTGCTGAAAGTCAAGCTGAAGTTGCAAGAAGTGAACTGATGTAAAAAAAAAAGCACTTGCATCGTTAGCGTGTTACTATGGCGACTTTACATTCCCGTTTTAAGACCTTATTCCAGTTTACCACTTATAGGTCTCTAACTTGGAAACCAGACAATGTTAAAATTAGCTGGCTATATATTGCTACTGCCTACCCACTAGGTCTTGTCTGGAAATTGTTCATGTACTGCCAGACGATCAGTCGTCAGTAAGAGATTGCTTGGATTAAGGATTAAAATGCAGTGATTAAGATCTAGTCCGGAGCACCATGACCTCAAACGATTTAGCATTTTGCAGTTGTTACAAGAATCCCAGTTCCAGTCACGACTTCATTTTTAAGTTACAGCAGCTATGCGTCCACTTGCTACTTCGCCTTGCCGTATCCTATTCATGTTAATTGTGAGCTCTACCATATTGCCCAGTGCATAAAGGGTTGTGGTGCGGCAAAAGCAGAACTCAGCTTCATGCAGATGAGTGCAGCTGTTCCTTTCTGTTCAGCCAATCAAGCAAGAGTAGGCCAGTCTTCTTCATGAACAGCAAGCTTTCTTTCTCATCTTTAAATCCATGACAGTGTAGTTTAGAATAAAAATGTCTGGTTTTATACAGAACTGTTGACAGTAAAGATTTGGAGGGAAGGCATTAGTTTAGATAAACTTTACATGGTTCGAGCGGGAAAGCAAACCATAAACTATATGAAGTGCGCAAGTTAGTTAGGTCTTTGTGAGATCGAGTGAGCTAAGTTCCTTGCTTGTGACGATTGGTGCATTCTGAAAGTTATAATAACATAAAAAAGCATAAGTCTAAATGGTACCACTTCAGAATAAGACTACCATCATAAAGGGTTTATAAATGGTTTATTAATGATGATTAGTTAGGTCACACAATAATTAATTAATAAACAGTTATAACACATTGATAGAAGCTTAATAGTTTAATCAAGCAACCAGCAAGATCTGAGGATTAACAGTATAAAAGAATGGGGTTTTACTATTTGGCAAACAACAGGTCAGTGTTTCCCTTTTTATTTATGTGTTGTAACTAATTTATTTTTTAATTAATGACTTTTATGTGCTTGAGACTTAATTAATAATAATAATAATTAAGGGGTATTCTTATTTTAAAGTGCTTATTTTAAAGAGTTTTTGTACAGAACCCTGCTGGTGACCCCCCGTATAAATAAAAATAACACAACATATTTTAACGTGTGGGAATAAGATCTTACTGCATGGCCACAACTTAGTAAAGCGTAAAGCATGAGCTGTAGTCATGGCTTAATTATCTCATTCTCACACCTTACTAAGTAGAGGAGATGCCTTGGGATCTTGTTCCCACACTTTACTAAGCCACAACTTAATTATCTTGTTCCCATGCCTTACTAAATTGTTATTTTTTAATATTATTATTATTATTATTTTATTATTACTATTATTATTATATTTTATTATTATTATTATTATTATTTTTATTTTTATTTATACAGGATGTCACCAGCAGGGCTCTGTACTCCGGCTATCAGATTATTTACTGCTCCTCATATGTTCAGTACACTTCCTACAACATAGAATTGCCCACCAGTGGTGAGCGGAGAGATCTGGTGTAATGAAATGCGACAAGAAAAAGTGCAAGTGGACACATAGGGACAGAGCAGGGAAAACAAAAACAGTGTGGTGCTGCAGCTTTCCAAGGTTTTAGCTTTGACAGATTTAGTATTCTTCATGTTAGTTGTCTAATTCAGTCTACCACTTTGCTATTTCCTCTGTAGGCTTCAGTTAAATCCCCAAAACACGTTTTGTCATTTCCCTATTTTGTGTGTAAATGTATGCTTGGGCTACTATAAATAAAATAAAAAACTTGCAGAAAGACTGCTATAATAGACATTTTTAAGCAGCAGCAGTGCTTTTAGACCACATCCACCAAAACCAAGATGTAACACTATGTAGATTTATTGTGTTTATTTGCCTCATTTGGTCCCGGTATCAAGTCCTGAGGCAGCCGTAGTGTTGGCAGTTAAACACATACTCAGGATAAGGCATAGACTAGGTTAAAAGCCATTCTTTATCCTGTAGAGGATAAAGAATAAAATAGTATGCAAAAGTTTGCGCGCCCCAGGTCACGTTATGTTTTGTTTTTCTAAGTGAATAAAAATAAGTGAAGCAAAGTGAAAAAATGAAGTAAATAGGGTAAAACATACTGTTTTATTTTCACTTAGAAGATCAACAAAGCGTCATTTGAACAGGGGTGTCATATCTCTAACTCTCTCATTTACTCTTAGCTAATAGGTAAATATTGTGTTTATTTTGGAGATGGAGAGTGTTAGCTTAGTTATAGGTACCTGTTATAGTAAAAATAGGCATTAGAAAGTGTTTTAAAATGGAGAAAAAAGGAAAACGCACACGTTTGCTATTGTAACTTACAACAAAAAGTTAATTGATATTTCTTTCGGAAACAGTCTTGGAATTTGAGTGCCAAGTGGTAGCGTCTCTTCAGGTAACAAAGACCTTTATGAATGTTGACTGCATTAAGCTACATACGTTGAATTCCATGCCACTGTGTGGAAATTAATGTTGAAAACTAACCATTGAAGTATGACCGGTCAGCTGAAGTCTGACAGTATGGGCTGAATCTCACCAATGTTGCAAAAACAGTGTTAAAGTACCTGTTCTCCAATTAAAAATAGTGAGTTCTAGATGTTCTAATGCTTGATACTTGTAGTGAGCATCAGCTGATATTGAGTCTGCATGGATGGAATTTGATTTGTAAATTAAGTTTGGGAGAAAATCTACACCTGAAAGTCTTTCCTGTAAATTTCCACGATCACCTTTCTGTTCCCCGTGACAGCATTTTCAAATTCCACCACTAGGGGTGGACAATATGACAAAACTAAATATCATTTTGCACATTGTGTATTGTGAAAAAAGTATTGTGATATTGTGTTTTTGCCAAATTGCCCACCTTTACTTCTACATCTTTCAGGCCTCCAAGAAGCTGAAACCACCTAGAACTCCTGCCCAAATTTCCTCCCCCTTTTACAGTGTGGCAACAACGTTGAATACTTATTCACGATTCATGACATGCATCATAATATTCAGCTACTACATCTATTGAGGACCTTGGCTAAATCTCTTTGCAATGAAAATTCAATGGGTCACAGCTTTAAAGTCCTGGCGATATCTGTGGTAGGTTCAGAAAAGCTTGATGGAATATATTGTGCGGTATCATATTGTCATCCTGCCATCACCGTAAATAGAAGAGGTGGTCTACAAATGAACACTGAATGTTATGCAAGACTGTCCAAAAGAAGGGTGCAGTATTCTTCTTAGTTTCTAGAAAATTCTCCTAGGCTGCAGTGGCATTTGTACTGTTGCCATTCGTAACACATACTCAGTACACAAACTGATACTCCTTTCTTGAATGTTATATATAATAGATCTGCTTTCATTGTCTATATGCACCATTTTGGTGTTTGGAAATCTGTAAGTCTGCTTCGGTATTCTACGATTTCGTATACCATTCAAGAAGTTGCAATACGTGTCTTATTAATAAAGTCTTTCTATATTTCCCTTTATGTCATGTTTATGTGCTGATTGGACTTCGTAGAGGCTGCCCACTTTGAACACACCGTGTGGAGAGAAGGCCTGTAAGGATGCGAAATAGCCTGCAGTTTGCTCACTCTTTCTCTCTCTTTGAAATCGTGGTGTGTGTTGTCTTGTACGCGGTCTGTAGCACATGCAAATCTTTTTTGCACATAAAAGTATGAAAAGCACAACCCCCCCCTCACTTTTGGGACATTTTTCCTCTT